CTGCGTGGGGCCGGGGTTTCCGGGGGCTGCCGACAAAGGGCTTTGATGTCGGCAGGGGAGCGTCCAGACTAGCGCACTGAGTGGACAAACAGCTGATCAGCTGTTTGTTGGCTCAGCATGGCAGCCATGTAAATGTAAATGTAAATGAAGCCGCGATCATTTAAATCGCGGCTTCATTTGCCTTTGCCAATGTGTCTAATCTACATGCCTCTGACGACAGAGGCATGTAGTCTAGACACAGCCTAAGATATGCAACTTCAGCTACTATCTTAATTGCCAGAGGGGTAGCCATGTTAGTCTGAATCTGCAAAAGCAGCGAGGAGTCCTGTGGCACCTTATAGACTAAGGGAAGTGTTGGAGCATAAGCTTTCATGGGCAAAGACCACTAAACACATGTATTTGCCACAATGGAATGACTCAGTCAGTGGGAAATTTACACTGCCCTCCCAATCATACAAAGACTGTCCCCTGAAGACACCACCTTATATACAGGTACAACAAGTCACACTGATGTTGTCAGGTTACCATCCTCTGACGTTATCAGGTGACCACCCATCACCCTGTACTTCATGATTTGATTAGATCATCTCTATCCATCATGCTGCCATTTTAGACCCTTTCTTTAACCTGAGTCTGTATCTGTGGGGAGTGGGTACCAAGGTCTTTAATGAGCTAGTGATACTATGTGCTTTCCACTTATGACCAGCACCAATTATTGTTCTGCAGTCGGTACCTAGCACCAATTAGTGTTTCATGCTCTCAGCCCTGTTCTTGCCAAGTTCTGTGAGCTGAGGCCTGCCTCTTGCTCACAGCTTAGCTCTGCTTTATGTTAACCATGTTTTGTCCATTGTTAGCTAGGCCTCATCTCCTCAGGCCAGGCCTGCATGGGCTTATGTTTTAGGCCTTTACCTTACTACATCGGGGTGGTGAAACACTGGAATAATTTGCCAAGGGAGGCTGTGGAATCTCCATTATTGGAAATTTGTAACAGCAGGTTGGACAAACACTTGTCAGGGATGGTGCTTGATCCTGCCACAAGTGCAGGGCAGAGGACTCGGTGACTTCTTGGGTTTCCTTCTATTTTGTGTGTTCTATGATTCTGTGAATGGCTCACTTCCATTCCAGTGAAAGTCCAAAACACTCTCAAACAGCTGACCCTTTTGCCTATGACTTGGTGGCATCACTTTGTGATTCCTGCCTACAATGGGCTGAGAAGGATGCAAGCGGGACCAGGTCAGAACCCAAAAATCCAACACGGAGAGTTGAGCCTTTCCCTGTGGGGTAACCATGCCAACGGTACCCTTCATGTCCCTGGAGCTGCTGCCTGAGGTAGAAGGTGTTAAATGTGGCTTTGATGGCTTTGAGATTTGCTCCCTGGAGCATCTTTGCTCCCAGGAGACCTGCTGTGCAGAGCCCGTGCAATTAGTGTTTTTACCACGTCTTTTCTTGTGGAAATTGGACACAGAGGGCCAGAGCATCAGCTGGCATGGAGCGTTGTCTCCCTCATGAGGGCATTTTAATATGATACTACAATGTGATGAATGTGTCCCAGTAAATTTGTTGGTCAGCTCTCCAAACTTCTGCCTACGTAATTTCCCAGTGTTGGTGTAGATATCCCAGCCCAGACTCATCTGGTATAACTCCAGATAAATGCCAGTAATTTTAGCAAAACTATAATGGAGTATCACTGCTATAGCTGAGGTCGTAGAATCATAGAATACTAGGACTGGAAGGGACCTTTAGAGGTCATCAAGTCCAGTCCCCTGCCCTCATGGCAGGACCAACTACTGTCTAGACCATCCCTGATAGACATTTATCTAACCTACTCTTAAATAT